TAAATGGTCTCCCGGAACGCGGCATGTCAATGACGTCCTTGGTAAGCTTCCAGGTTTTGACTGTTTTTCGTACGCAAGATTCAGAAACCCCAAGTTTTTGCCTATTTGAACGTTGCTGTGAATTTTTGACTTAGAAATACCAATAATTTGCCATTTGATCTCACTTAAAACTGGTTTTCGCCCCATTTGCACGCAATTTAAAATTGTTTGAAATTTGCAATGATTTCAGTTGATTTTCGTTGAATATGAAGCTGTTGAATAATGATGTGACGATTTTTATTGACTGAAAACCACTCAATCTACTTATGTTTATGTTTTAAAACAATTTTCGCAACGGATTAATTAATTACTTAACAAATAATTGAATTTTAATAAACTCGTTTAAACTTTTATGACACCAATTAATTTCTCACATGTATCTATTAATTAAATTCCCAAGAGATCACTTATGAGTCGAAACCTACTTTTTTTATTTATTTTTGATCAGAAAACCTAGTTACCGAATGGGGAGAAACTATTTTGATATCTATTTCCGTTACATTTTTATTAAAGAAAAACCAAAGATTTGTTCTTAAAATTACACCCTCGTTTAAACTTTCGTGAATAGCTGTACAAGTAAAATTTATCCACAAGTAAACCAAGTAAACAACAGATAAGTTCTAGTTTTCTACTAAAAATGATCCGATGCTTATGTAAACCTTCAAATAAAACTAAACAAAACAAACAAGTATATAATAAAAATTCCCTAGTTAACTTAAAGGATGTTGCACAAAATAAATTAAAGTTCAAGTACGCAAACTTGAAAATACAAATGGACATACTTGTAAACACAAATGGAAATTTTGAAGTAAAAATGTTTCATTTCATAACATAATATGAACATATACAGACATGAATTTTTTTTTTTTTTAATAATTATGTTTACTAACTATGCAGCTCTATATCCTACATTATTTTGTTGCACCAGACTGTCACCTTATTGAAAACTAAGTTTTTAAATGTATAACGAGCAAACTGCTCTTCAGTTTTTCAGTCTTTGACCAGGTATAAGTTTTGGTATAACATGATTTACTGAATAATTGGATATACTTGATAAAAATGCAGTATTTATACATAGTGGTTTATGATAGGCCTGCACATAGAGTTAAGATTTCTTGATATTTATATACACTTTTAATTCCTTAAGCTATATCATTTTCTAGTTAAGTTAGGAATTTTTTAATTTTTGCTAAATCTGAAATACTATTTTTCAAATTGGCTTTATAGTATAATTTTTAATAGATCTTTGTGTGTTTATTGATTATTTATTAGTTAAGATTATTTATTTGAATATTTTGTCATTATTTTAATGTTAATTTTAAAATTTGAGCCTCCAGGGTCATACCTGAATTTTAAACTATCCTTCATTGAAGATTGATATCCTTTATCTACAGAGATTACATAAATATGTGTTTCTTAAAATCGGAAATGGGATAGAAACTTTTTGTTTTTTGTTTCATTTATGTATTACATGTGTGCAAATTACAATTCTTTATCACTGATAGTTTATAATATCAGACCTTATGGTCTATAAATCTATGAATTATAAGCCCTTCTTTTAACAGACTAATAAAATCTGTTAAAAGTTTTCTATATTATTATTTATTTTCAACAATTTTTTTTTTAAAGGATAATAAGTAATAATAAATAAATAGTTATAGTTATATAAATTTTTGTATTTATCTTTGTTTTACTGTACTATAATACTTTCTACACTACAGCTTTTAAACGTAAACTAACGCGATATTATATTTTATCCGTACAGCTCAAATATTAGTGCCCAGACCTTCCCGTATGAAACTTGCTAATAAACACCCAAAAGTGTTTATATTGCAAAGTAAAAAAAAAAAGTTCAATATCTAAAAGTTTTTTTTTTTTTAAATTTGTCATTTAGGTGCCTCCATCCTTACAGTGACGCAAAAATATGTCTAGAGTTCGCTTCGAACCTTGATCTCCTGCTTCTGACGCAAGCGCTCTAACCACCGCGCCACGGACGCGGTAGTTAGAGCATTATAGAAATATTATAGTTTACTTTATAGTTATAATAACAACAATAGTAATAATAACAGCAATTACAAAAATAACAACAATAATAATAATAATAGCAATAATAATAATAATAATATTAATAATAATAATAATAATAATAATAATAATAATAATAATAATAATAATAATAATAATAATAATAATAATAGTAATACTTTTATTAATTAAATTATAAAATACAACATAAGTTTTCAGCTTAAAGAGAAAGTTATTAGGTTTTCCTACTAAGGAGTTTTTCTATTTATTTTACTGTTTTTACTATACTGTAATTCTATTACAGAGTTTTCTTGACGTTAAATTTTTTACAATTAAAGTGGTTTTCATTTTTACTTTCAAGTCTTTTTATGGCCAGACACCTTAACATAGTGATCCGGGTGAAAATGGCAAAGGGTTACAAAGTCAAACACAGTTCTTATGTTACATAAAAAACGTTCGCGGGTCTTTACCTCCCAGCGTATTTAAAATCAATGACTGACAAGAAAATTAAAGTGCGTTCGAAAATTGCGGGTTACAGCTTTTTCCTGATGCTATTGATTATACAAAGTTAACATTACAAACGAAACACGCCGAGGGTGTACACTTTTTTAAAGAGAATAAATGAAGATGGCTTTGTAGAACTTTAACTTAAATTGAACTAATATTTTATTTAAACGCAATAGTTCAGACTAATATTAATAACCCATAAAGTTTTTACAATTTAATAAATATAATAAAAGATTGGTACTCGTTAGATACCTAGTATGTTTTAACAATTTTTTAAATAAATTTGGGCTGTAATTAATTTTTTATCACTGAATTTCAATTTTATTTACGCTGTGTTCACTCATCAAGTTTCATAACCATATGCAAGAAGTGATAAGGAAAATATTGTCTTCTTTTAGCCCCGGTCATGTAGATTTTATTTATATAATACGGCGTTGTATTTTTTTTTTTAATGACGAAATAAAAAAATGAATGAAAATAAAAAGTCTTTAGCATCTGTTAAACATAGTATTTATAATTACAATGTTTTAAAAAGCTGAAATGATTTCGTGTTGGATTGTCCTAGATCTGATGTGCTTAAAACAAGCTAAAGAAGAAGATGGTTTTATTTCGTGTTTGAGCAAAAAAGACGAATGGAGATGCAAAACAGCAGATCTAAAAATCCAAGTTCAGATTACAATCCAAGAAAGATGGCAAATAATTTTAATAGAGGAATTTTTTGCCATCTTTCTGTTTTTTATAGTTCATAAACAAACGCAACGCCTCCTTTGCCCGAGGTAGCTTCCACAATGAAGAGGTCCGCTGTTATTCTTGACATGATCAACAGTAAATGGTTTCCTTCGACCAAAAATGCTGTAAGTTAATAGCGTTCATTATCTTTACTTCACTATGCACCCTATTTTTATTTTGAACATAGCGCTAGTTAAGACCATTAAGTTATCTTTCTTTAATAGACCTAATATGTACACTTTTCCTAACTAAAACTCGTACTGCTACGCAAGATACATCGACGTTAGATTGAGTTGTATAGATACTGGCGGGAGTAAAAAAGAAAAAGAAAGAGCTAGCGAAAGTATCAAACGTTTGGTAACTCAGATGGCAAAAAAAATCCCTATTCAAAAATGAAAGTGATGAAGTAGTCGTCCAAAGCAGCAACGATTCAGGTAAAAATTATCTAATAACGTTAGCATAATGGTTCAGCTATTTATTTTATTAAAAACAAAACGTGTTTTAAAAAATAAGCAAAAGTGGCAAACACTAACCATAGATAAAAATTAACCAATAGCGAACACATAATTGACACTCATTTGAGGGCTATATGGCATATATATATATATATATATATATATATATATATATATATATATATATATATATATATATATATATATATATATATATATATATATATATATATACATATATATAGATAAAATAAGGTGGGTATATATATGCATATATATATGTATATATATATATATATATATATATATATATATATATATATATATATATATATATATATATATATATACATATATATACCCACCTTATTTGTTTATCGGTGATCACGCAATCTTAGGGTATTGTAAAGCCTAAATATCGGTCTATATGCTAAAACTGTGAGTCGTTAATTTATGATAAAACGTGTGATAAATCAATGTTTATGCCGGATTATGTAAACTACGACTTTTACATATAAATTGTGCTGGTTCTTTTAGTTTGCACACGATTTTTAAAGTTTTATTTCTTTCTCTTATACTATATATTTTTGTTTCCTCTTATACTATATATTTTTGTTGATCTTGATGTTAAGAATTTTTAATTATGTATTCTCATATAATTTCATAAACTCTTTGATTTGTGCTAATGTAAAAATTTTTACATTTTTTTTTTTTTTTTTAGTTTAATGTTCAAGACTCTCGTTTTAGTTTCTTTTTCTCTAACGATTCCAAAGAATTAATTTCTTTCGGGCATTATAAGCGTTTTTTAAAATTTTTTATACAAAAAATTAATGTTCGGATCACAAATAATTCCTTTTTTCATAATTATATCCACACGAAGGAGTTTACAATATATATTTTCTTCCTACTATTCTTTTAACGAATAGTACTATTCGTTTAACGAATAAGTGCTGTTCGTATACCAAAGTTTTACGAAGAGTTTATCGCTTTTCGTTCAAACACTATTCGCCGGTGCTTAAACATAACTGAAAAAAATTTGGCTATTAATAAAATCAGTTTTATTTTAAAAAAAGTAAAAAAAAAGAAAAAAATTATTTAATTTTATAGTGCGCCTATCATATGCAACAAATGAAACACTTTTTAGTCAAACTTAAAATTTTTTTATGTGTGTATGATTCATGTAATAAGTTGTTTAAGTAGGAGTTCCTTCGTTGTTTAATTGACCTGGTACCGGATTTATACCCATAAATCCGGAAGCATAATCCGGTTTTGCGTACTGTACCAAACGAAAATTCACGCAAATATAGTTGAAGTTCGCGCATTTAAACAAATTCGGTCCCGGTTTAATCCTTTAAAAGTATCTATCGTTCAAGATGGCGGCCCCTATCACCAAAAAAAAGAAGGTGATGCTCTAAACTTTGTCTTTTTTTTCTTATTTCTTTAATTTGTTATTTAAATACTAAAGTAAAATATCTTATAGCTGTATTTTTGATATAAATTTTACATTTTTAATAAAGATTTTTTTGCTATTGCAAAGATATAAATGGATATTATGTTATTGCTATATACCTTATGATTTTAGTTTGTTTCTGATGGTGTGTTCAAAGCAGAACTGAACGAATTTTTGAAACGGGAACTTGCTGAGGATGGTTACAGTGGGGTTGAAGTTCGTGTTACTCCTTTGAGAACAGAAATAATTATTCTCGCCACAAGAACTCAAAATGTTTTGGGAGAAAAAGGTAGACGTATAAGAGAGCTTACTTCAGTAGTTCAGAAGAGATTTAACTTTCCTGAAGGAAGCGTGGAGGTATAGTTCTCAGATGAATTATCCTAATTTTCTAATGCAATTTGTTATTTACTGGATCCCATTAAAAGCAAATTATGTATCAATTCGACAGTATTGAATGTTAATTTTCCATTATTCAATTTAATTTTGAAGTAAAAGAAGAGTATTGTTGACATTCTTGAAATGATATTTTGCAATATTTCTTTGCCTAACCTAATATTGATTGATTTATAAGCAAGTATTTAGTAAATTATGATATGTGTAAGACTATTCTTCAAGGATCCATTAGTTTCAAAAAAATTTATGATGTATCTATGCCCAATTTGCCACTCATGTTTACGCTCAATATCGTTGAATCCAAGCTTCACTAAAACTATAAAATCGAAATTTTCATATTTGTGATTTTTCTTAATTTCTATTCATATTAAAATGTTTAATCGTTTCAAAATTTAAGTTAATGTTTAATTTCTTTAAAAATTTATGTACAAGTTTTTATCTTATTTAAATCATTGTAAACAGACTATTAAAACTAATTTAAAAGTAGACAAGATAGAAAAATTTACTTTTTATATTATATTGCAACTAGGTGTTGAATAAAAATTTTAGATACACATTTATGTGCATCATTGTGTCCAAATTTCTGTTACTTTTGACTTTCATAAATAATGAATTATCATCATTATCAAATCACTATTATTTACCCAAAAATACTTTTTAAGTTTAAACTTAATGTAAAATTTATAAACACTATATGTTACAAATTTTTAATTAGCTAAATGATAGTTTATCTACACTTAGCAAATTAACTTTTAATTTTTAATTGACTTTGATTATTATCTATTAATTTTTTTTTTTTTTTTTTTTTTTTTTTTCTAGTTATATGCAGAGAAAGTTGCTACACGTGGCCTGTGTGCAATTGCTCAATGTGAATCGCTTAGATATAAACTTCTAGCTGGTGCACCCGTGAGAAAGTATGTTTTGTATTTATTCTAAGAATACTACTAAGTTCAGCAGTTTTTAATTAAATTATTATTATTAGAGCTTGTTATGGTGTTGTTCGATTTATCATGGAGAGTGGAGCTAAAGGCTGTGAAGTCATAGTTTCTGGTAAATTAAGGGGACAACGAGCAAAATCAATGAAGTTTACAGATGGTTTTATGATTCACAGTGGATATCCAATTCAAGAATATATTGATACTGCTGTTCGTCATGTATATCTTCGACAAGGTATAGTTTATTAAATAATTTTTATCTGTATTTTGAATTGGCTTCCTTTTAAAAACTGATTTATTATATCTAAACTATACTTATAATAATTTATAAAATAATACTGTTTAATTTATGTAAGTTTTTTCAAATCATTTATATTCTAGTAAAATAATTGAACAATAGTAATTTTGTTGTTGTTGTTTTTTTGTTATCAAATAATATTTAGTATGCACTATTTTTATGCATTTATTAATGATTTTTCAGCCATGTACTAATAAAGAAGTAATTTGGTTATTTAAAATCAATAATAGATAAGTTTTATAATTGATAATTTAATAGCTAATATTTAGTTAAAGATCAACTGTTAATCTTACTCCTCCTCCCCTATTTATATTAAGCATATAATATATAATTTAAGAAATAAAATTTTTAAATCAAGTGTGATTAAATTTACCAAAAATAAGTGGACAGATTAGGCATAGACTTATCAAGGCTATAGTGTCCTAACTAGTGAATAAATAGGTGTAGTTTTCAAATAATATGAAGTAGTAAACATTAGCGTTTAATCTTAACATCAAGCACTCATATATATCAGCAACCACATTTTTTACATTTCAAAAATGTGCTGAATTTAAAAGATTTTCAATTATACATTAGAATTAAATAACTTCAAAACTTAATCTTTTTATATTAGCTAAACACTTTTAAATAAAGTAGCAATTTACTGATAATGGTTTTTGTTAAAAGTATTGATAAAATTTACAGTTTTTCTCTTTAATCTTTTTTTATTATTACATAATTGTATAAGTATACATTTTTTGAATAAAATTTATTTCCAGTTTATAATTAACAACTTTTTTAGGCAACAATAGTCTCTTAAATGAACTTTATATAAAAAACACAAAAAGTTTATACACTCAAGACTAAAAAAATTATAAATGTTTTTATATTATTGAAATGCTTTTATTAAGTAACAAATTGCTGCAAATGATTTTTTATAGAAAGAATGAATTTTAAAGAAATAACTTTAAATAATCTAAAATTTTAGTTTTTTATTAATTTAACTATTACTTTTATAAGTTTTTTTGGTGCTTTTTTAAAATGTTCAAATTTCAAAAACATTAACTGCAGTGGTCAAATCATCCGAACAAACTAATATTGATGTAGTCATATAATAGATTGCATATCTTTCTGACCAAAACTGTTATAGGGTAACATTGACTGTTACATGTTTTGATTTGTAAATGTAAAGTTACATTTATAAGGATAGAGTGTTAATTTTTTTAAATTAAATTTCTTTATTTAAATTTAAAAAAAGCAGTGAAAAAATAACTTTGTTTATTATTGAGTATTTTATTTAAATTTATAAAAGAACAATGAAAAATATTAGGAACTATACTGTAGCAACATTTAGCAACTGTTATCTTACCTGCTTCACTAGTGACCCTCTTTACTTGGTCAGTTGTTAAAAGCTTTTTGCATATGCTTTTGTAAGCAGATTTAAAAAAACTTTAATATTTATGGAAACTAGCTGTTTATGTTAGTTTAGACAAGAAAACAAAATTTAAAAAAAAAGTTTCGGTTTAAAATTAGAAGAGCTTGTAGACATTTTATTTTGCAAATATAAACTTATTTGTTATTCAGACTACAACTGTGATTTAGAATGTATGGAAAAGGTTTGTGTAAATGTAAGGGAGATAAAAAAAAATACTGATTTTAGACCTTCAATTTATCTGGCCTCAAAAGGACTAGTGTTAGTTACTTAAAAACTTTTTATATTGGTAGTACAGAAACATGGTACATGGGTTACATAGATCAGAATACATAGACTATGTAGATTAGTAGTGCATGTAGTAGAGTTATCTCATTCATTCATTACCTCTCAGCTCATTCACTTTTTTGTCTGGCTTTTTTTAATAGTTCTTTTTATTATAATTATTTTTCTTTTTATTATAATTAATTATTCTTTTTATAATTATTTTTGGTCACTATATTATTACTTTTTGTTGTTTGTTTTTGCTTTATTTGTTTATTTTGTTAAGGTGTCACTCCAATTACTAGTTTTAACTATACAAGTGACACTGAACCTAATTTTGTAAAATTATAAATAAATCTGTAAGATTTTTTCATTTTATGTTTATATAAATTTAAAAAATGAGTGGGTATCCAAAAAAAAAAATTTAGACAAATTGTAATTAAAAAATCAAGATGAAAGAGAGGTCACTATTTAAGAAGAAGGCTCATTTTACTATATTATATATTCAAACAATTCATTAAGTAAGAAAGTTTGAATTTCAACATGAGAATGGATTTAGACATTTAATTTAAAGTAAAAACGTTATAATTTTGTCAAAATGATCTATGTAAGTAACACCAATGCTTACTTAATATTTTTCAGATTTTCAATATCAATGCTCACTATCATCTTACATGTTATTGGTGCAGTAAGGTCATGGCAGGCAAGCAACCAGGGTTAAAGATTTGCAGGGCATGGATAGAGAAAAGCCCTTTCTTTTCAGTATATTATGAGGAGGTGACTTGTTATTAGTGAAGAGGTCTTGTAGATTGTTCTGGTTAACTACTAAAGTAAATATTAATTTGTTAGCACCTTATTCCGTATAAAAATTAATACGAAATCATTTCAATAGATACCCTATACCATGTATTTTCATAAAAATACTTTAGTGTAGCCCTAAAACTAAAATGTGTATGGCTTAAAATCATTTTAAATCCTTAGGATTTAGAAACAACATAAATTCATGGAAAATGATATTGTAGTATGGTTTAACTTACCTTTTAAATCGATTATTTCAGCAAAAATTATGTGTAAGTTTATACTGTGTTAGTTATATTTACCATTATGCAGTTAAAAAAAAACCCTTTTTTTTTTAAATTTTACAGATAGCTGCAGAAAAATGAGGTTGGCAATAAATTGCCAACCTCATTTTTCTGCAGCTATCTGTAAAAATCTTAAACTCTTTTAGGTCAGCAAAAAATTTTAAACAAAATGGTTACCATTAAACATACAAATAAGGTCTGCATTGCCAGATGCCAACCCTAATTCTGAGAGCTGTGTCATATTCAAATAAACTAAACATTTAACCAGTGACCTAAGATTTATTCTAACTCATTTCTATGTTACTAGATTACATTACTTAAGAAGGAAATCACTCAGAAAAATGTTTTTAGATTACATTACTTAAGAAGGAAATCACTCAGAAAAATGTTTTTAGATTACATTACTTAAGAAGGAAATAATTTGAGTAACCTTTTAATTTAAAGTCATTTACATTTAAACATTAAAAGTTGTTGGGTTGATATCTTTCTTGTTTCCTTGATTAGTTAACTGTTATCCTCGTCATTATTAATTATATGGCATTAATATTATTATTTTTTTTAGGTGTACTTGGAATTAAAGTTAAAATTATGTTACCATGGGATCCAACAGGCAAAACTGGCCCCAAAAAGCCATTGCCAGATCATGTATCAATTGTTGAACCAAAAGAAGAGGTTTTCTATCCTCCAACATCTGAACAAAAAGGTGGCAAAATTGATCTTGTTCCATTGCAACCTGTTATGTAAGTTCTTTATCTCAGCTGTAAATATATTTTATACTGTGGACTACGGTAAGCACAAAGCATTACTAATGACTAATAGTGCAGTAGTCATCAGTTAAGTTTCGGTGCATGCAGTAAGCAAAACATTGTAAAAAATGAACGTAAGGAAAGTTTTTAGTGAGGCTTCACAGATGTGTGTTTTTAATTACATAACATACATTTGTTTTATTCAACTAAGTTTTATTCAACAATTTTTTTATTGTTTAACAAGCGTGTTGTATCAGATTTCTTTGTGTTTGCAATAAGTAACATATTGATGGGTTAATTCTAAAATATTTAAGACATTTTTTAGAGATAAAATATTTAAAAAGTTTAAATTCGTATACAAATTCAAATATTTAAATACATTATAATTGTTTAATTGTAATGTATCTCTTCCACTCCCTATAATTTAGTAGACGGCGCAGAGATCGTCTTTTCAACATTCATAGCTCAATATAGCCCAAATTTGGACATGCAATGTTTTAGAATTAACCCATCGATATAACCTATGTCGTTATCTAGTCATGTGATTATACGGTTGTAAAATTTAATTTTTTTTTTTTTAGGTAACGTTTTTGTTAAGGCTGACCATCAAGAATATTGATATATCGATAATGCTAAATATTTGTAAACATCTCGACATAATAAAAATATATTGCAGCAGAACTTTTTTTTTCATTAATTTATAATAGTTTCACTATGCAATAAGCTCCTTTAAAAAAGAATTAAGTAAAATTTGCACTAGCTTACAAAGCAATATTGTCTATACTCTACCAGCCGTGTTGCGAAGTTTTTTTAAATTTTGTAAAATCAGTGATTTTGCCTGTATGAAATCCAATTTTTTAAATTTTAGTTAGGTACGTTCACCAAAAATTTGAAATTTGACCCCCTCACCTTGTTGCCATGTGTACTTTTAAGTCCTCTCCCCATCGTATCGTCCCCCTCCACTTTTTTTTTTCAATGAACAAGTTTATGGAAAGAAATAAGAAAAGGTTCTTTATACGACCCAAAAGCTCTTTATTTGCGGCACAGGATCCCAATTTGAAAAACGTCCTCAAATATATATGCTAATATTAATTTAAAGTTGAGTTTCACATTGCCAATGTGTTTGCTTGGCCGAGAGGTTATCGCTGTGGATTGTGGCGACGGAGATCAGTTTTCGTTTCTCGATCGAGTCATAATGTACGTATTCTTGTTTTCATGACGAATCAAATAACAATGAACTATATTTATGGTGGACGTTTTTTTCAAGTACCCCTCTTTTGTAAGTCCGTACGAAACGAGTCTTACGCGAGATCAGTAATATCGAAAACAAAGCCTATAACTTACCCGTACCCCTCAATTGCATGTGGGATGTAGGGTCAAAAAATTTTCTTTTGCTAATTTAAGAAGCTTTTTATTGCAGCGAAACCAAGCGGTAAAATTTAGGAGATTTTAAGACGCAAATGATGTGTTTTTTTTTGGGGGGGGCTAAGCTTTTTTGATGTTAGTGACGGCACCCGCAGAATTTTTTGATGTTCTAGACAGGACACTTTCACACATTTGGCATAGGTATACTTAAAAATATTGTGAAAGTGTCATATCTGGAATATCATAAAAATCCTGCTGGCCCCACGCATGTATGTGCATTTAAGGAAACTATACCCTCTACTTTTTTTTTTTTTTTTTAATGTTGATTTTAGGTGCCCCAAGAAGTCTTTACGGTCTTATTACAGAGCACCGCGGAAGAGCATTTAATAAAAAGTTCACGCCTCCTTACCAACCGATGTCGCAAAGCTTGCCCAGAGGTGGGGTTTGAATCGGATCTTACGTTTCTGAGGCAAGTGTGCTACCACTGCGCCACGGCTGCTGCTCCCTATACCAAACATCAACACAAAAATGTTGGCAAATCTTTAGTCAGAATTTTATCTTTTTTATTAATTAGCTTGTTAATTATAATAAATTAGAAAATCGATGTACGTACTTTTTTATTGAACTCCCCCAATACGGTTTTTGAAGACTTTCTCCCTATGAGCGTACTCACTTTATGGACGACCCTTTATGACACTTAAATTAATTAATGAGACCCTTTGAACCAAAGAGACCGTAAGGTTTCATGTCATAAAACCTTTTGAACTTAAAAGTATTTGTACTGTTGGTTTCGAAAAAAGTTTTTAAAATCTGGACAAAGTGCTAAGGGGTTTCCGATAAATTACGTCAAGCAATTTTTGATCCCACCCCTCTCGTCATAAAATCGTAACACTTAAGTAGCAAGTTTTGTTTAAGTTGTCGCAAAACCACTCACCCGCTCCCCCATAGAGAGTAACGTAACTTATGGACGACCCCTAAAGAGTAAGTCAGAGTGGTGTCTTTAGCCTAATAATAAAATTAGGGGCATTTTATTTTAATATAAAATTATTGTTTTTAGTTAATCTGTTACATTTAAATTTTAAAATGGAGAAATTGTACTCAGATAAAAATTAACATGTTTTTATTTAATTTCATGCATATATTACATCTACAACGCCACAGAGTTGTTAGTCCTTGGCCTTCAAAAAAAAATTGTTTTCGGTTTTCATATATATATTTACAAGTATATTTTCTTAATAACTTATTTGAATTATGCGTATAACCTTGGTCTATTTTTACAATATGATTTTTTTGTCACAACACTTGCTATCCACAGTTTTGTTAGTAATTGGCCTTAACATAAGAAAAAAATTTATGTCTTTGATGTTTTGCGTTGGCCTTGGCCTTGTTAAGAACTCTGCAACAGCAGTTATAAATATCTGTAACATTACATTCATATCGATAAATACATAAATGTACGCACAGACATAAATATACATACATTCTTTTTTTTTTGCATTTTTTTGCATTTTTTTTTTGCATTTTTTTTTTTGCATTTTTTTGTATTATATACATACATTCTTATATATGTACAAAAATATATACTTGTTTACCTAATGTATATGTTTATTTATCATGAACAGGTATATATGTGAACACACACTTATACTTGTGGCTTGATAAAAGAAGTGGAAACCAATAAATCTCGACTAAAAAACAGGCACTTTTTCTACCAAACCAAAAATATAATTGTCTGCTACAAGTCTCCTACGTTTCCTTAAACAGCGTTGCTTTTTTAAATTTATTATTTGTGCAAATTATATGATGTAAAAGATTACTATGTCCAGCAACATCTGTGGAGTAGTCCAAGTTCATCTATTCTTTTTTATTTACTTCAACAACATCTGTGATATCTTTGGGAAGATGTAACTACATTTGGGATTTTTTTCCCAAAACATCTTAAGTTCAATAACATCTGGAAGAATTTCTTCCAAATGTATCAACACCATATGGTATGATGCAAGTTTCCCGCATTCTTAAACAGCGTTACTTTTTTTATATTTATTATTTGTGCTAAATTTTTCTTTGTACTGAAAAAAGTTCTTATTATATGTACAATATTTTATTTTATAAATTGTAAACGAATCTTTTTATATTTATGATTACGTATTTGTAAAGTTTTAATAGAAGAACAAAAATTTAAAAAAATAAAAAAAAAGTTCTGAAATCACACAAAATCAACTTATAGAGTGTTGTGGTAAAGCTTTTAAGGAGATTCTTATTTCTGAAATCAATTAAAGCAAGTACTTTTCAATTTCAGCTGATGAAGCATCGGTTAGTGCCAATCTTAAATAAATGTTTATTTTTATAAGATATATAGACAATAACTATAATACTCGTGAAGATTTTTTAAGGTTTGTTGACTGTCTTTATTTATTTAAATGTGCCTTCGTCCTTACCGTGCCCCTATGGCGTTTTAAAACTTTTCAAAGTGCGGTTTAAAACAAAGTCTTGTTTTTTATTAAAAATATGAAGAAATTTTTCCAAACAAAGGTACCCGATATTGAATTTGATACGAGCTTAGTTTAAGAATGTTAATAAGAACGACAAAGTTGTTCTTTGAAAATTTGATAGGATATTTACGGCAGATTTTATTAAAGTAACATTACTGAAAATAACCCACATTTTGCTTTAAACATAAAAAGTATTACTTGATGAATAACCCACATTTTGCTTTAAACATAAAAAGTATTACTTGATGAATAAACCACATTTTGCTTTAAACATAAAAATTACTTGATGAATATTAATCTTATAAATATTTAAAGCTCCAAGCTGACGTAAGAGAGGTTCGCAATATGCATTCTTGTTTGCCCCAAATATTATCCTGCAAGAACGTTTTGTTTGCATAAATAATTTTAAGTTTAGTGTGATTAGGGCTACCTCAGGCAACATTATAGTAAGAAAGTTAGCTCTGTATGAACGAAAAATATATATTTTAAAAGATTCATCATTAAGAAACGGTTTTGTTTGATATATTTTGTAGGGGGTAAACAGATTCTATCTGCTGACCAGCCTCCACCACTTCTTCATCTATAAGCCAAGCGCAGATGTATTTTTAATACATTGTTTCCAGTTTAGGATGTTGAACGCTGGATCTTCTTGACTCAATGCATGGGTTTTGCTTGTGTCTCTGTTTTTATGACTAGGCAACTCATTCTATTATCTCCAAATGAGGGTATAGCTCTAAAACTCAGTTTTATGATTCTGAGGCCGGCTGGTAGTCAAGTTTCCCGAACTATGTGGTAGCTCTCAGAGTGGATGATTCCATCAACAGCTGAAAAATATCAGAGTACTAATAGTGCCATGGTGCGCATGGATGGTGCCCCTGTTTGTACTTTTGGTATGCATTGCCAAGGCCACATTGGAGCCCTTTGTTACGGCTTAGGGTTTATTAGTAGAAATGAGGCAATTGCTTGGGCTATAAAACAGTGAACTGAGTACTATCTATGTTTCAAGTCAAAATCTTTAACAAATTTAAAAATAAATAATGTAACAAAAACTATAAAACACAAAAAACCACAGTCATCACCAAGTTTGCTAAACCTATCATTCACCAATATTCGTGGTCTTCGAAGTAACTTTTCTTTTGTTGAGTCTTATCTCTTGCAAATTTCACTAGACCTACTTGCTCTTTGTGAGACTAATTTGAGTTCTTCTGTCTCATCTTGTGATCTAAGAGTTGATGGTTATCTTCCGTTATTTCGTAAAGACTCCAACAGTCACATGCTTGGCCTGGGCATTTTCATTCGTAAGAATTCACCCATTTGTCGGGAAACTAGGTTTGAATCAACAGACTACTCTTTTATGTGCATTCATTTAGCATAACTTCACTCTATCACCTTTCTCTTTGTTCTATATCGCTCTACTTCATCTCAACACTGCATTCTTCTTGATGTTATTTCTGGTTATATTGACCAAGCCCTCATTCTTTATCCATCAGCCAATATTGTTGTTGTCGGTGACTTTAACGTAAACATCACACTGAATGACTTGGCTCTAGTGTCAGTGACTCTGCAGGCATTAAGGCCCACAACTTTTGCCTTTCTCAATCCCTAACTCAAATAGTCAACTTTCCAACTCGCTTTCCAGACAACCCGAATCATTTACCTTCTCTGCTCAACTTATGTCTTGTTTCTGATCCTAGTCAGTGCTCAGTTTCTCCACACTCACCCTTAGGTGCTTCTGATTTTTTTTTTTTTTATTCATATATTTGCCGTACATATAACATTTACAAGTTTCGTAAATTAATATTTACAAGTCTCGTGAGTCAAAAT